ACCTCTTGCTCACCCCAAAGCAGGCTTCTCTCAGCTGAGCTGCTCATCTCTGGATGAGCTCAAAGCCAAGGCAAGCTCAGTAACCTGAATGCAAAAACAACTGTTAAAATGAACCTAGAGACAAGCCCTTGTGGCTCAGCCATCAAGGCTTTATCATCTTCCAGACTGCAGCACCCACACTGCACTGGTGTTCCCTGCTGTCCCCTGCTGCCAGCACAGGGACCACATCCTGCAGAAGCATTGGTGTAAAACTGTGATTGACTCACTGCTTTTGACCTAGAATGTGGTGGAAGAGCTTTGGACTTTTCTGAAGCCTAATCTCGGTGAGGAAGGGCACCTTCCCTGTAACTCAGCTTGGCTGAGCTTTCTTTCACTGAGGGTTTTAGGCACCTTTAGATACCCCTTCCCATGTGCTCCCTCCCTCTCAGAGGTGCTGCTGTGCAGAGCTGTTCACACCACAGCACCTTTCTCAGGAGGCAAACGTTCATCTCCCTTCTGGACTGGAAGGATTTGTAGCCAGCAGGAGGGCTCAGCCCTTCCCTCCCTGCACTCTGGGTGTCCTGTGCAGGTACACAGACACACCATGCTGTCAGCATGCCATCTGAGCAGAGAGCTCATAAAACCTGGCTGTGGGAGGGAGCACACTTACACAGAATTAAAGCTGCTCTGCAGAGGGGATGGCTTAAAAAATTGCTGCCTTGGGAGGCAAACAACCCTATTATGCTTGGTACTAAAGGGACACACAGTTCTCATTAGTGATCTTGTTTTCTCTCCTCCTGCACTGTTATAACTACTCAGATGCTTCCAAATATTTCCCTGTTGATTTGGTCTCTGTCTTGGTTTGAAATTCAGGTGTCTGCTAAGGAAGGCAGAAACGTCCCTTGAAATGAAAAAAGAGTTAACTACCCCGCCCCAAATTATTACAATATTGAAATCAAGGTACTCTCGGGCAAAGATAAAGGAAGAGGAATAACAGTTCTTTACTAAGAATTAAAATAAAAATGCAGTAGTACAAAAAAGCCCAAAAGCAAAGCTACAACAAAAAAATAACCAACTGACAGAGTCAGAGTACAGCCTGACACCCTGTTGGTCAGGGTGTTGATAACAGTCCCATTAAATGGTGGCTGCAGTCCTCCTGCAGTGACAGACATGGTTCTGTTGAAGCAGTGATCCTGTAGGAGGGTGTAGTTTTCCTCTGCAGCTCTGGTGGTGTAGATGGGTCCAGTCTCTCTCCTGGGAATCCAGTGGAGAAAGGCTGCCTGTGGTGTTCTGAGTCTCAGATTATATCCAGGTAGGAATGCTCGGCTCCTCCCCCAGGGTGGAGCATCTCCCAGTGGGATGATGTAATTTTATCAGTCATGCCCTGAGACTCCACGGCCCATGAACAGCAGATGTCCCCCTGGAGGGAGGATGGGTCATGGAAGAGACAAAGAAGTCTCTTCGTCTCAGTGTCACACCTGCTTTTAACAGCTGGTAATAGAACACATACTCCTGGTTACATCTTGCACTGCAGCCCAAGACAGCCTCTTATTTAATGAGTGCTGAACCTGAATGCAGTGTGTACATGAAGCTGTAGGCTAGGCCTGCTCTCCTGTGCTTCTGGGGAATCTGGGACTTCATAGACAAGAATATATTTCCTAACTCTTCTCAAGACCTGTTCACAAGGTCAATTAAAAAACAATTGCATTTCTTCCTCAGTAGTGAGTATGAAAGGTTGGTAGGTCTTTTAGCCCGGGTGACTGGCCTGGTATCTGTTTACCTCTTTTCCAGGCATTTATTTGAAGCATATCTCAGAGCAAATTTGCAAGTGAATCTGCTTTCCTCTAAGGCCCAGCGACTCACCCCTTTGTGCTTCTAGCCGGTGTCTCTGCCTGGGTGTCCAAGGCTAAGGCAACAGGGTTGCTGTGTGATCACATACACTTGGAGAGCTCCTGCAGGCTTGTGCCAGCTTGAACGCTGAGCCCTAGGAAATGATCCAGCTGATCAGAATGGGTTTTAAATATTTATATACATAGGGATGACGTATGTAGGTTAAGTTTTTATAATTTTGGCTTTCCAGTAAACTGTGCTCTTGCTAGTGATATCAGGACCTTCAGGTTTACACCAAGTTCAGTAATACTGGGACAGGGTAAATATTGGAAACCCATTTCTCACTTTATTTATATTCTCAACTTTATTGACCTGCTAGACTCTCTTCAATCATGGCCAGGACTGCCAGGTTTTCTGGAAAGCTCTTACTGTCTTGTCTTAATGTTTTTATCACTGAAGCACACATTTATCCACAGAATGGGCATCAGAAGTGAAGCTAGAAGAGCCCCAGGGATTTATATCTGCTCCTCCTTCATCATGTTATGTGGGAAGCAGAGAGGGCTCTTGGATACTCTGACTGTCTCTGAAGGCCATGGCAAAGATTACTGTAAAGTATCTGTCAATAATATCATGGCTGAACTGCCAAGAGGAGTTTCTTGGGATTTATGAAGAGAGTCAGAGAGAAAGAAAAGTTCCAGGTAGCAACAACAATCCAGCTGAGGACATACAGTCCTAGAAATTTCCACTTTCACTCGGGCCAGTTTCAGAAAGCCGCAGTTGCATGGCTCTGATGTGTTGGCAGCCTTTAGTTAAGCTGCAGAGGCCAGGCTGTAAACTTGGCCAAAGACCTTAATCCCTGTGTCAGTGTGCTACATTGATCCAGCAGGAGAACAGCCCTCTTAGGCCCTCAGAGAACAGTGAAAGGGACTACAGAGAAATACACTGTGATGTTTGGGCACACCCTTAGGGACACTTGTCCATATAAGTGACCTGTGAATTCCTGTATTGTCAGCTTCATCTCAAAGGTGAACCCCCATCCTCCATACCCTCTGATACAATGATGGTACATGATCTGCCTCTTGGAGGTGGAATGGATGACACTTAGGGGGTCTGTGTGTGCCTATTCATGCCAAAAAATGAATTAACTTCCATGCAGAAGACTTTATCTTCCTCACCTTGACCCTGCTGAGGCACAATCCCATCACTGAGACAGTAGTCTAAATAAACACAATTCACAAATTAAAAGAGAGCTAAATTAAAAAGAAACTGAGAACTTTAATGCTGTTAACGAGCAAGTTGAAGTTTCTGGAGGCCTCCATGTCTGCATGTGTACAGGACGCTGTGCAGTTAGGTAAAATCTCTTTGGAAATGCAGTGAGGCAGGGAGCAAGAGCACATCAAGGCAATTCCATCTTAAAATACATGGAGGAAATGCTTTGTTTCCTGTTTTAAAGGCTCTATATACAGTATAGGGGGAAAAAGGAAGGGGAAAAAGTGCTGTATCAAGCAGCAAAAGGAAGTTAATTTCCTTTTGGAAAAAAAAGGGATTAACTGGAACTTGTTGGCACAGAAGGTAAATGGGGAAGAAGGATGTAACAGGAAAAGAGTAGGGAAAAAACTCGAGAAACTCCATCTTGCAGAGATTTTATTTGGTATGCTGTGGATACCAAATGCATTTTCCCAGCATTTCCTCACATTTCATTGTGGGTTTTTTCCTTCCCTTCCCTCATGCCCCTTTATTTTGCCTCTGTGTGGGTTTGGTGTAGATTTGCTGATAGACAAAGTGTGGTGGAGAAATCCACCACCAGCCTTTGGGGGTACTGCAGGGGAATTTTGGTGCACGTGTTTCTCCGAATATTTTCAGAATTAAGTGATGCCTCTGGAGAGAGTTTTTTGGATAGTAACTGTTCTGTGTAGACCCTCATCCTGTTAACATCACAACAGTGGTAATGGCTGCTGCTCTACAGAAGGGGCCCTGTTGAAGATCTGAACGGGTGTGGTTGAGGGCTATGTGCATGCTCATTGTAGCTCTCAGACACGGGGAAGAAGCTGTTTTTTTTCCCTGACACTTGAACAAGAACACTCTTTTGTTACCAAATGTAACTAGTAATGCTTCCTGCTGAAAACTATTAGGGTAATGGAGCATGCTAGGAATATTGTTTTCATCAAGAAAACACCCACCACCCACCAAATGTACAGTTTAGCATGTCAGTTCACTCTGAGATGGGAGTGAAAGGACAGGAGTGGGGAAAGATAGAGGGGATGCTGAGGAGCTCTTGCAGCACTCCACAGCTATCTTCATCCAAGAGCTTATTTGTAAAAGCACACAATTCTAAAAGTATATCTATTACAGCTGAGAATAGGAGTTTAGCTATTAGCTGTTTAGCTATTTACATGCAGTACAGAGGAAAATACTATCAGAAATGGGGCCATCAGTCAAAGTTTTGCCTGAATAGGAGTCACACAGACAGCTCCCCAGAGCATCCTCCAGCACACAGACTTGCTGCTGTGTAATAGCATTTGTTATGGCTGGCAGTTTTTCAAGACTGGTTATATTAAACTAGATTCCAATGTCTATTTATGTGCCAACATATTGAAACAGCCTGTTTTCTCCTCTTTTCCCCCCCACCCCTCCTTCTCTAGAGCTGGTGAATAGCAGAACTTTGTGGGTGCCTGCCTCTAAACGAAATTACTTTTACCCAGAAGCTGAAACATAGAATTAGGCTTTAGTGTCAGAATGAGCTAGAATTTTGGGATGATGTTATGACAGGGGAGAAAGAGGCTGGGAAATTCAAAGAGTCAGAAAGTAACCAGAAAATATTTTGGTGTGCATAACAAGGGAAGTACCTATCAGTGGAGATGCAGTAAGGGCAAAATGCTGAAGCCTGAAACAAGGCTAAAGTGAATTTGAGTTTTGCAGGTTTCTAATGAACAAGGCCTGGCCTGGTAACATAGGAATGTGTCAGTTTTCCTAATTGGTTTGCTATCTAGTTGAACATTTTTTTATTCTTTTTTTCCAGATGAACTTTTAAAATGAGTATTTTAAGGTTTTGCTCTTCAGACTGTCCTCAGCCATGATCCATGTGTTTCAGTGAGGGCCATATATAGGAATTGTTCTAGTACCTGGTGAAAGTCCTTTGAAAACTTAATATTAAAGCTGAATTTAATACTCTACATTCTTATTCCTCCTAGGACAAAACATATCAATGCCCCAGAAATTCCCGAGGAAATGAGCTTGACATCCTTCCATACTGGGAAGGAATCATGCAGTCACAAATGCCACCAGGTGAGCATCCAAGTTCTTCTGGCTTTTGTAACTCCCCTGCAAACTTCTGTGCTGTGGGTTTTAATGAATCCATGGGTGCTTCAGGGCATGTTAGGAAACTGGGCATGCTCCTCAGAGAATTAGGAAAGCTGGTGGCTGCCAGTGTCCTGCTTCCAGCAAACAACAGACAAAGCTGGCACCTCTGGGCAAAGCTCTCACCACAGAGCACATCAGAGACCTGGACGTGGCAGAACTGAGGGGCTAACAGCAGCAATGCTAAACTATGTTACTAAAAATCTTCTGGCCCTTTCATCCATTTCCCTCCCTTATCGTGCCTAGCTAGGGTAAGAGATAAATTTTCATTAGTGTGGCAATACCATAGACTTCTAAACCATACGAAGGCTTAACTTCAGAAGTAATGAATAATATGACCAAAATAGATTTGGACCAGTATCCTGTCTTTGATTTTTGTTCTTTTGTCTTCTTAAAGGGCATTTCAATCCCTTTTGCCTTTGCTCACATTTTGATAGCTATCCCTGGGAAATAAGAGCCAATTGTTAAATATGCAGCATTGTGACTTTGTTCTTTGCTTTGTGCTGCAGCTGCCACGGGAGACTTATAGCCCCATTAAAATCCATTATTCCCCCTGAAGTCCTGAACTTTCTGGAGTGAAAGAAATCTGTCTAATTGTCATGGCCAGCTGATGGTGTGCGAAGGATTTGGACTCACCAAAGAGTTTCTGTGTGATAGAGCACTCACATTAAGGCTGGAGTGAGAGAAATGGAGGAGCTTAACCAAGTTTTTTTGCTGACAGATAAGGGATTTTTACATGGCGCACTTCCATGCTCCTGGAGGGATTTCTGATAACACTTGGAGTTATGTCAGCTAGCCTAAGACCTTTCCCCTCCTAGAAATACTTTTGCAATCAAAATTGTTGGATACAAAGTCCTAATCATGGCATGGCTGTGTCTTGGAAGTGTGTGAGTCTGTGTAGGATACTCTTTCCCAGACTTTAACTTTCAGGAGGACAAATTGCAGTGTATGTCCAAAGCTGTTTTCCAAAGACAGCAGGTCAAAAAGAAGGGGCCAAAGCTTTTTCTACAGCTCTGCTGAGTGTGAGGAGGTCCCTACCTGACTAAAGATGTGTTGACTTGATTATGTAGGACACTGTGGGGACAGTGAAGCTGTACAAGTATCCTCTGTATATCAGAAGAAAAAGCAGAGACTGGCAATTTAAACTGTTAAAACACATATGAAGTTCTTCAGTGGCAGATCTCAGATCTATGTGAGACACTCCAAGTGTTTTATTTCCCAGAGGATATGGATGTCCTGCAGTCTTGTGAGCACTGCATGGTGTCTTGCACAAAGGAGCCTGAGGGAAGGGCTGACTGTCAGGGCAGGGATTTCTTCTGGCCAAAGTGTCCAGACAGTGGACATTTGCCACTTGTTGTGCTCACAATGGGTGTCTGTAACTATTTGTCTCCCTGAGGAAGGCCACCATTCTGGTTACAAGTATAACCAGTTCTCTTCTGGCCACGTCTGCAGCCTGATGCATGAGCCCAAAGCTCAATGACATGAGGATTTTGTGTTAAGGGTGTTTTAATGAGGGAAATATTTTCTGACATTGCATTTTGAAAGACTATGTCTTACAGATCTCAAGACAAAAAGGTTCACATCCCATTCTGGTCTTTTTTCCAGGCAACTTCTGTGGTTGGACCCTCCTGTCTGTCCCATAAAATCTTAAGTTTCAACAGTGATAGTGACCTTCCTTTAAAGGGCTGCAGCAGCCATTGAAGACTTTCAATTCACTCTGCTCAGAAAAACCATCTGGTAAGTCTGTTATGATTTTGGGGTGAGGATGGAGAAGTAGAGCTTAAAGTATGGCTGTTCTGTTTAAAAAAAATAAATAAACCTGTCTTTTTTGAAGAGAAATGACCATTATTAAGATGACGATATCTATTTGAGATTTTGAGCGTTGATGACTGAATGCATAAGTAGTGATCTAATTACTGTACTCATTTCCCAGTGTAAACCTGTAAAAATGTGATACTGTCTTAGCTGTTGCTCTCTATCTGCCCCTTTTCATTCTGCTCTACAAGGCCAGAACCCCCTGTCTCCCTGCTCAGTCTGTTAATGCTGCTATAATCTCTCTTCCACTTCTTCCCCCAGTTAGGCACTAATACTGCCAGGTGCTGCTGTTACCACTGCTCACCTCCCCAGCCTCCACCTCTGCCACATGCTCAAGGACCCACACAGTTAATTGGGCTCTGAGCTTAAAGACAAAAGGAATCATCCCTCACTCTCCTGCTTCCCAGGCAAGGGCACAGCTGGTGACATGGCTGGACAGTTTCCTCTGTGACGAGCAGAGCTGCCTTGGCACCATTAAGCAAATTAGTACTTTCATCCCTCAGATCAGAGAAACTTGCAGCTTGGGAAGATGTGTCCAGTCTGTCTCTTCTGTTTTGTGGAAGCAAACTATTTTTCCTTTCTAGCAGCTCCATCAACATAGATCTGTTTGCTTTTTCATTCACACATGCACATTTCCAGGGTAAATTTCAAACCCTGGCTCTGAAAACGATGAAGTACCTTCTCCATTCACATATGTCACTGTGTTTCTTTTGGCTGGGGTAGAGTTAATTTTCTTCACTAGAAAGTGGCTAGTAAGGGGCTGTGTTTTGGATTTATGCTGAAAAGGGTGTTGGTAATAGAGATGGTTTTGTTACTGCTGAGCAGGGCTTACTCAGAATCAAGGCCTTTTCTGCTTCTTACACCTCCCTGCCTGTGGGGAGGCTGGGGCTGCACAAGGACTTGTGAGGGGACACAGAGCAGCTGATCCTAACTGACCCAAGGGATATCCCATACCTTGTGGCATCATGCTCAGCATATAAAGCTGTGGGAAGCTGAGGAAATGTTTGGAGTGGTGATGTTTGTCTTCCCAAGTAGCTGCTACCCATGATGGAGTCCTGCTGTCTTGGGATGACTGAACACCTGCCTGCCCCCATGAGAAATAGCGAATGAATTCCTTGCTTTACTTGCATGCTTGGCATTTGTTTTACCCATTGAACTGCCTTTATCTCAACCCACAAGTTTACTCTCTTTTACTCTTTCAATTCTGTCCCTGATCCTGCTGGTGGGGAAGCAAGCAAGTGGCTGTGTGGGGCTTGGCTGCCAGCTGGGGTTACACCATGACAGCCACAAAGCAGTGTTGCTGTTATAAAAATGTTTATGTGCTGAATGTGCTTTGCCTTAAGCTACTGTCTGAGATCATTCCAAGATTCTCTTCCAGCTCTGATGTACCTAGCACTGCAGCAAGTTAATTCAGTGCTCACCCCAGGCACTCCACATAGGTGGTAGTCCTCATACCGCTGCAGTTTGCACTGCCACCAAGTCAAGTACAGAAACATCCTGAGGAATGGCTGGTTATTTAAACTCGTTTTTGGGTTGGCTTGTGTTTGTTTAAAACAGATGCTTATTGGGAGGGATGACTGGTCTCAGCATGGAGCTGACCTCTGTATAATAATAACCACTGTGTGGAACCTGACACTCTAAACGGGAAGTGGAAAAGTAAACAGCTTAAGCCATCTGTGCTAACTTTTCCTTGAGAGTTTGGCTGCTCTTACTAGATGGTTGTGCCTTTTCCTGGGGCACACAGAAAGGGTAGGTCTGTGGATTTGATGTAGGCTCCATCTGTGTTGGGGTCTGGTGGCTGAGAAGGTGATAAAAATGGGTAAAAAAGGGATTAATGGCATAAAAAGATGACTGACTCACCTCTGGACTCACTGTGTTGATCATAATAGCAGCAAAACTTTAGAGTACAAGTTAAGGTTCTCTGTAAGAGCAGCACAAAGAGCAGTGACTGGGACCTCACTGGTATTTCCAAAAGTGTCCCCATTTTGTCAGGTTGTAAGTGTTGAAGCATGAGTGTTGTTTGGTAGCAGATGTTAAAAGGGAAATTTTGACTCTTCCTGTTGTCTGAATTACGGGGGGGTTTGGACAGAAAGAAATGTATTCATTTTCCTTCTTCCTTGCCCAATGTCAGAACAGTTCTGGCAAAAAAAAAACCCCTTGTCAAATGTGAATGATGTCAAACCCCTGCTTGTGACACACGCTGGTTTGGGTGGGTTTTCTCCTGGAAGTGGCCTGGCACCCCTGGGGCTGCAGGAACCCATTGCATCAGGTACCATTTGGAGTGCCAGCACATCCAGCTGTGCCAGGGTTAATGATCATAATAACATGCTGACAAGGGGCCCCAGTGCTTGTGTGTGATGCTGAGTGGAATGAACAGCAAGCCTTTGGGCAGGCTTGCTTCCTATTATCTGGTTAAAACACAGTGTGAGGGTCAGGAATGTGACTTTAAGGTATGAGTGTAGGCTAGACATGATCTAGAGAATAGCAAAGATCACCTATTCCCAACCTGTCAGAGCTGTGACTATGACATTAAAGTTAATGAGCCAGAAATGAGCAGGCAAGTCCCTAGAGAGCTTTTTTGGCTTTTTTTTTTTTCCCTCCATAAAGACTGGTATGCACAGCACTAACATAATATACACCTCTGTGCTGGTACTAAATTAATGTCTGAGATGGCAGGAGCTGAAATTTAAAAGAAAGCTTTTAAGTTGCCTGTACCCATTGTCTAAACCCCAGGATACTCTTATTAGAGGAATACTTTGCTGTGGCATATAATTTAGAATATATATATATATATATATATTGTACAGAGATGAGAGAAATTACCCCTTTCAGTTTGCTGTGCACAACTTGGGGCAGGACTGTAAAGCACATGGATTTCACCATATCCTCCTGGAACACGCCCATGATAGGAGGTTTCTGCACCGAAGGAGTGATGTCCTAGGTCAAACTTGCCTGAGGAAAGTGTCTTCCCTCAAGTCCTCAGATCCATGTCTCTTTGGAGGGTCTCACCTCTCATCTTCTTAGAAACAGCCTTCAAAATAAGTTCAGTTTGACTGTGCTGTGGCCCCAGACTATGGTATTAGGAGAAAGGCTGTTCTGATTCATTAAAACAGTGCTCTCAGGCATCCAGCAAGTACAGCAAGGGAATGCATACATTATTAAAGCTCTGTCTCATCTGCTCTGCAGTGTTGATGTGGGATATTTGGTGGGATGGAGAGATGAGGCAGTGAGCTAAGAAGCAAGAAAAGCAGTGGGCTGACAGAAGTAAGAGCAGGAAAGCTGTACCTGGGGTTGATGGGAATTTGCTTTCCAACACAGGCAGAGCTGTGACAACAACCTGCTTGCAGGTGGTGGGGGTGAAGCAAACAGTGCTGTGAGATGCTTATCAGGGTGGGGAGAGACAGGAGCTGGCAGTAAGTATGGGTTACTCTGACATGGAAGAGCACCTGTGACTGATTGAGGGCAGTGACAGCTCAGACTGGGACCACTGCCAAGAGAGATTTCCCCTGCTCCCTAAATGTTGCCTGCAGTGTGTGAAATATTTTTCACCTGGGAGCCAGGCTGTCTCTTCTATTGGGAATCTGGGAAACTTTGGTAAAGGCAAAGCCAAGGTGGAGGCTGGGCAAAGGGCAATGAACTCAAGGGAGATGAGATCCCTCTCATGGTATCTCAATGCCCAGGGCCTCTGGCCCATGTCACCCCTGCTGCTGCTCAGCAGCATGGTCAGACACCTCGTGGTGCCAGTGTCTCCTTGGGACACCTCAGTGTCTGGAAAGGAGAATCCTGTCCCTTCATCTGCAAATTGAAGAGAGCTGTACCACCCCCTCCTTCAGCACAGCTCCTGACCCTCTGCCAGGAGATGTGGGATGCACATGTTTGAGTGCAGCTGGCACTGAGCTGGTCTCTGCCCTGTCTGACCGGACCCTGGGCCAAACTCTGGCCATCTCCTTTTCCTTTTTCAGGGAGGTTTTTGGTGGCCACACATGTGTTTGTTTGACAGGCATGACAAGCTGGCCAGTATTGCAGTCTGAGGCTTTTGTGTATTTTGCCTCAATGGAGAGGTTGTCATGTGCACTGGGTAAATGTTACTGAATGGGGTCACCTCCCTCCAAACCCTCCCTCTTTGGAAGTGCAGACTTGAGCACCCTGTTTCAGAAATCATCTTTTTACTACAGTAAACCTTGTGGTGCTGTAGTGCCCATATCTATTCAGTTCCAGGAAATATTATCCTCCAGCATCTGGGTGCCTGACTCGTGTCAAGTTCTGGTCAAAAGTGGTGCTCATCTGTCAAAATAGACTTGGTGGCCCTGTTCCTCTGGGATAACCTGACCTACCAGAGGGAAGCAGCTGCTGCAGAGATGCTAAGATGGACTGCTCTGGCTGCAGTGCTATCTTGCTGGAAAGGAAGTGATCTGGGACTCAGTGTGCTGGCTTACCCACTGTAAATATGCCTTCAGGTTTCAGAGAGATTTATCTATGCCAAGCTCTTAGTCTCGTCTCTCACATTAGGGAGGCCGTACTGACAGGTTTCCAGTTACCAAATGGTTGTTTTTCCTCAGTTTTAAGTGGAAGGGTTTAGATTTACCTTCTTAGGGGAGGGAAGGGTGGTGTCTGACTCAAAGTTTCCTGTGAACTGGTAGCTAAAAGCTAGACTTGGAAGCGAAGAAGGATTTTAATGTTCAGCCCTATCAACATGTTATCAGTGAATTACAAGCCAGTTAACCTCTGCTTGCATCCATCTCCTCTGGTTTCAGCACTCCTGTGCACTACATACACCTCCATTCCTTAAACAGGAGATAACAAGCTCTTTTCCATCTGTGTTGCTTATCGTGATCCATGTAAATATTGGAATATAAACATGGGAGTGTGTGTGATGAAGCAGTGTGGTATGATGTAACCAAGTGAGCCTGGCAACCATCTGC